TATATGTATAACTTACCAAGCCGGTTGCTGACTGCTGTTGTTATTGCAGCTGCTTCCTCCATTGAAGATGTATCGAACATTATTTTTCTTACCAGTTGTTGTTGTTGTTAAATACATATTTTGTGCTGCTTCTTTTCAGTATTCTTTTTACTCACTTAAGAATCTACTTTTGCTCATGGCAACCGCTTTCAACTCTTCTCGCCACAAATGTTTTTATATATTCACAGATACAAATACAAAATCATATATATATAAATATATATATATTATATATATTTAAGTATGTGGCAAGCATCTTTTTCGTTGTGATGCCTCTGTTTACATGTGGTTGTTGTAATCGCAGAGACTCTGTAGTCGATCGCACTGTTACATACTCAAAATAACTGTTCTTATTCTCGACGGTCCGGTTTGGCTTTTAACTTTTCTGTTTCTGCTTTCTTCTTTTTTTTAATACTATTTTTGTTGTTGCAGCTCATGCGGCAAAGGTTTGTTGCTTTGGGCGCCAATAAAAATATTTTAACTGCAGACATCTTTAAAAATATACAAACATATGAACGTAGATATGTTTTGTATATATAAAACCACGCGTTGCATTTGAAATTCCACCGACCAAGCGTATCAAATATACCTATTTATACATATAAAGGGTAATTTTTAAGATCTATAGGAAAGTTTTTCAAAATAAAATACCCACAAAATTCAGAAAAATACATGAAATCTTAATTAGAGTCGATAGTACGGTCAATATAATTTAATGTTTGAAGATTATTTCATGCAAGTGATGGCCGGTCCATGCGCTTAGTCCTATTTTGGAATACTCTTTCCAACATTTCGGCCGGTATTTCACGAATAAATGCTTCAATGTTGTCCTCCAATGCGTCAATTTAACTGGGCCTGTCTTCATAGATATCCTCACAAAAAATAGCCTAAAGGCGTTAAATTGCATGATCTAGACGTACAATTGACCAGTCCCGAACGTTAAATAAAATATTCATCGATTTCGCCTCTCAATAAGTCCATTGTTACACGTGATGTGTGGCATAAGGCTTGTTGAAACCACATATCATGCAAGTCGAGCTCTTGCATTTCGGGCAAAAAATAGTTTGATATCATCTCACGGTAGCGCTCACCATTCACAGTTACGTTACGAATCGCATCATCTTTGAAGAAGTACGGTCCAATGATGCCACCAGCCCATAAACCGCGCCAAACTGCGACGTTTTCTATATGCCTTGGTATCTATTGCAATGCTTTGGCTGATCTTCACTTCAAAATCGACAATTCTGCTTGTTTGCGCACCCATTAAGCTAATAATGAGCTTCGTCGAACTTTCTTAACAGAGCACACATTTTGATAATAAAATTCAATGATTTGCTAGCGTTATTTGTTTGTAAAACGATTCATGGTTAAATGATAGACCAAACTGAAGGTGTTTGACAGTGATACAAAACACGAAACATGCGTCAGTTCTTTATACTACTGTTGCCAAAAAAATAATGGCTAAAAAATCACCCTTTATATGTACATACAAAAAGCCATAATGTTTGGTCGTATTATTTTCAGGATTGGAATCTGCTGATTAGTCTTTTGAGGAAGTTTCTTTCCTTTTGCTGGAGTTGCATTGCAAAAGAAAATTTTTAATTGCGTTTAGTCGCTATGGAGCATATAAAAGTAAGCAAAAAAAAAGAATTTTTGTAATTTTATTTCTTTTCGATGAAATGAAATTTCCGAAAATTAATTAAATACAAATTTTCATTTTAAACTTTCGTTTAACGTTTAAATAACTCAACTGCTTGTAGGTCGATTACCTCTTTGTATGGCTCGGTGGATATGATATTTCATTCCGAATATTAAATTTCTTGAAATAAACACACAAACACATAGAACAGCCACAACCAATAATTAGCATTCGAACGTGCAAGATTTAGTCTCAAAAATCCGAAACGAAGACCTCCTTTGTCTCGTCTCGGTGATTGGTCCAAAGTAATCATAAGCACAGCTCTAGGAATAATATTTTGTGACAGTGTCAGAGCTTAAAAAAAAATTATTTATTCACAATATTTTCAGTCAGTCAGTGAACCATCCTTCTCTGCCACTTTTCAATTTAAAATGTTATGAATTATGAAATAAATTTTATCTTCAAATTAAGCCTACAGTTAATGCAAATTATTGAAGAAAATCAATTATTTGAATCTAAGAATATTTTGATGATAATGATGAATGCGAAAAAGTATTAAATTATTTTTATTTAAGTCAATCAGAACAGTTTGAAGGCCACTGACTTAATATTAGATCCCACTTACATAATTACATCAACTAGATCTTGTCATGGTAGGTTTGCTAGCCACTCATCAATTAAAATGAGAGAAAGATGTTTAAGATTTAGTCTGGTGAGAAGAAACTATAAGAACTAGACCATGTCATAACCCATGCAGGCCTGGCACCTTAATGTAAAATAGCTCGTCACTTTAGAGGCGAATTTCTAGCTTTTCACTAGGTTAATGAATTTTTGCGCTATTTTTAAGTTACCTAAATAGTTTAAAAATAAAATGATGTTTTATTTAGTTATATATAATCGGAACTGTGTACCGTTGAAGCGATATGCAGTGTACGTCTTTTTTTTTTTTGGTCAAATGTGGAGGGACTAACAAATTATTGGATTTTTGTGTCAAAATAACACTCGGAAGGCTTTAATGCTCTTATAGAAGAGGGAACTGAAATTAGGAAAATTAGGTTTCTACATTTGTAATAATTAATTTTTTGGTCAGAAATGTTACCATCAATACGAGGAACTCAGCAACTGCGGCCGCCTTTGCTTGATTCTATTAAGTATTATTATTATTATTTTCCATTTATTTATTTATTCATTTGGGAAGATAATATTACAATAAAGAATTTATAATTAGACAAGTATTTCGTGAAGACAGGATCAGGGAGTTGGAGTTCGCAGGAGAGCAGTCTATGGTTACCAAATCGAGTTTTATTATTTTTTTTTTTTAAATCACGAAAAAAATTTATTTATTGCGATTTTTAACAAAAGAAATTAAAAAAAAAAATATTTTGTTAAGTGCGCATTTTTTCTACTTATTGGATATTTTTACGTTACAATCGTTATCTGTATAGCAGTTTTGGTGCGTGACTTGGCTAAGTTGACACTACTCCCTTGGTATAAGCGAGTCATGTATGTACGTGCTTGTGTGGGGATATATGCGCACAACGGTGTTGCGCCTAACGGTTTTATTTTGGCTGCTAACTCGTTAGACACTCGTTGTGAATTAACTAATTAAGAGTCAAAGCTGTTTTGTTGTTGCAAATGTATAGCCTGAATATATGTACGTACGTATTTGCACGTGTGTAAGAAAAGCTTTTTCATGGATATTAGTGTCTGAACATTTTAAAAAATGTAGCGATTTGTCCTCGCTAGTGGAGGAATTATTACTTTTGCCAAAGGTATAAACTATAAGCAAATGATAAAAAATTAAAAAAGAAAAAAGTATTATTTAAATATTTTTTCATCAAAAAGAGTCCAAAAATTTATTAAATAAATATGCTAAAATCATGCTAATTTAAATATAAGATGATTATACCACTTAATAGTTTAAATAACTCCCACTCCAAGTCATACACATTTTTTCTTTTAATTCCTTATTTGCTCTGCCCTTATTTTAAAGGTCCCTAATTATACGCCATTAACTACAAATTAAATATATATATTTTATTAGCATTGAACTAATTCTTATCACCGTTAATTTTTGTATGAATTCTTTCCACCATTAAGCACTCGCATTCACGTTAGATATATTCAATACATAGAAGAAAGGTTTATTTGAAATAAAAGAAACAACAGGTAAAGAAGAAATACTACTTTCGTGCCTCCGCACTCACACATGACTTTGGGCCACACTCAAGTTCGTTGTCAAAGTCTTTTGTAGAGCGCGTTCACACTATTAAAAAGGAATAACGACATTATGAGAAAAATACGAACAAAATATAATATAAGTAAGGCTTTTTGTTTTGATTTATGTTCATCGCGTAACATCGCTAAGTACCATGAGAGACACATACGTTGCACGATCGACCGCTGCATACCACACTAACAACACTAATCTATGAATATAAAATATTCTCAGCCAAACGAAATATTCAGCAGCTTACGGAGTGTACCGGATATAGATTTCAAACATTTACACATTCAATACATATAGACGTGCATATGCAATCAAATATACAACCAGCAAACCGAATTGGCTGTAGAGGGCAAGCCCAACAACGCAATATGGTCTCTAAGCGCACTTGGTTCAACCAGATGCGTTTGGAAATATATGCGTGTATTTGTGCCGGCACTTTTATTTGTGGCTTACGTCGTTTTTGGTACAGAAATGTGTAACTTTTTAATTCAATCTCTTATTGAAAATCTCATATTTACTTGTCAAGTGTTTAAAAAATATTTCAGTTTTGCACTTGTATGTGTGTTTTTGAATTCCTTATTCTAAGCATGTGGATATTTCACATATTACGGCAGACACGGTTTCGAGTTTATAATGGGCAATGAACGCGACTGGGATTAGCGGAGACTGCTTAGTATAACAATTGGTCAGTGAATCGATTATTGTTGAGTTCCAGTTTTATTTGCTGTTACTTATCGATAAAATGAAATGTTGTTATTTCGTTCACACAAATAAAATATATTTCGAGAAGTACAAAAAACGTGATTTCAATCTTTTCTTCTTTTGAAAAATGCGTTAATTTATTATGCTTGTATTAAATTTAAACTATTAGGAAATATTGCTATATTTTAAAACTCTTTTGGTGGCAAATAATTATTGGGAAATAATAAGGTATTTCACTCATAGACCAGAAATTTTTAAATGTACATTGCACTCTTATAGGAAGGAGCATAGTCAATAACGCAATAGCAAATAAAACTAGATCTTTTTCCGTTATTGAATTTAATTTCTGCATTCATTTTAATTATGTTGACAATTAAATATTAGACCTACCTTAACGTCTTTAAATCTATTTATACAGCTTCGTTGTATCTTGTTTTCGCTCTGATTCTAAAAAGCCCTAGCTAAAAAGGGATCTTTTTCTTTTTTAGGAATCTGGTTATTAATTTTTTTGACGATTCTAATGTATGTTAATTTTTTTTTTTTTTAGTTTATTGAAATTTGTTCCGAGTGACTTATTAATTGCATCGAGTTCGTTTGAAATTTTACTCCTTTTCAACTGGAAAGATACAAATAAAGAAATATAAAAGTTAATTTTTAATGAAAGGAAATTTGATTTTTGTGTAAGTTTTTGACGTCAGAAATGCGCAAATTTAAAATTTAAAAAATTAAAAATTAAGAAAATTTCGTTTTTTCAATAAGAGTGAAATGAATTTTTAACACATTAAATGTTAAGAGAAGTGGCTTCCACGACTTTATAGCATTAACAAATTTGATGAACCCAACTTTTGAGCACTTTTCCAATAAATGAATTCGTATTTCATGAACAGCACGTTCAAATTTGACTTTTAAAGATGTAAGAATTGTATTGAATGTATTGCTTTCATTAACCCTACAAGAAGAAGTCTAATGGTATTAAAGCACAGCAAATGTCCAAACCTTTCTCGCAATAATTCGGTTGTTGCACGTGCTGTGTGACACGCAGCCTCGTCTTGTTGGAACCAGATGTTGTTAAGTACTTCTACTTCCTATTGTAGTAACAAAAAAGTGGTTATCATCGATCTTTATAACTTTTCTTTGACAGCAACTGTGTCACCAGTTTCATTTCGAAATTAGTACGGGTCGATATTTTCACCAAACCAAAAACTACACTAAACTGTCTATTTTGGGTGAATGTTATAGTTTATCATAACTATTTTGTGGGCTTTCTTCGCACCAGAATCGATAACTTTCTTTATTTACCGTACCACTCAGGTGAAGTGAGACTCATCGCACAAGATGATCTTCTTTAAAAAATAGTCATCGCTTTCAAGTTGTTGTTGTTGTTGTTTGTTAGCGTTGATTTGTGCATATCTTGCAATAACGATATGGTAAACATTACTGAATAAAATGAAAAAAATTTTCAGAACATGACAAATTGAAAATGGCCAAAACGACACTTTGAAATCACATAACTCTATATTTTATATATAAAAAAAAAGTTTTAAAGTAAATAAAAACTTAAAATTTCATTAAACAATTATTTACGACAGAAGTTTTTGGCTTTAAATAATTCCATATTTTGCTCTCAAAATATCATCACGTTTAAGCCACAATCACTTCATTCGCTCCTTTTTTGCTTGTACTTAAGATTACACGTTTATTTATAGCCAAATCACTTCAATAAATGGCACTTCTTATAAATTCAAAGCAAAAAAATAAAAGATAATTGTCTGATTATTTTTTCAGCTCAATGCTATTCAGCAAAGAGCTTCACATTTCAAAAAGCTACTTGCGTCTTTCGCGTGCTGCAACTTTAAGTGGCCACTGATAATGAAGCAAGTGGCGATTGCCAGGGGACTGTCAGAGTTATGTTAAGTGACCGCGAGTGGGTTGTAGACACGATGACTTGACTTGCAGAGCAGCGCTTTATGGTAACTGTTGGGTTTTCTGTGGTATTAAAATACCCAATTTTATGCATAAATACAAACAAACTTATATATATGTACATGAGGCTCGTCAGCTGTAAAATTTTAATAATATCTGCATGTGTAAACGCATATGTATAAAAAAGGGTGCTAAGAATAACTCGGGCGACTGTGATAAAATAAAAATTAAAAGAAAATAAAATTCATAAATTCTAGAAGATAGTACGAAAATCTTAAGAATTATACAATAGAAATTTAAATGGATAATAAACCTAAAATTAAGTTTTCCTTTAAACAAATTAAGTTAAATTAACATCTCAATTGCGAACAAAATTATAAAATTAGCAGTAAAATATATAAATAATAATAGAGTAAAAAATTGATTTGGAAAATTTTGATTTTTTATATTTGTATTTATTTAGCATCTGATAATGCTTTTTGTAATTATTTTATTATAGCAAAAGTTCAAAGAACATACCAGATGATTTCATACTTTCACCATTCACGAAATATAAATAGCTTATTTCTTACTTTTTTCGGCAATCACTGGTTAATTTCAAGAAAATATGAGTCAATTTTGAGCTAACGATTTTTTTTCTATTTAAATTAAATTTAATGTACAAGAAAATAACTTCTATTTTAATTAGCGCAATAAGAATATATTCAATTATATTTAATTAATTCCCAAAATATATATAAGTAAGTATATACATACAATACTATTTATTTTTCTAATCTTCTTTGACACTCCTTTGAAATTGCCACGTTGTTCGCTATTACATCTCAGATGATCCATCCAGTCTCGAGCATTTATTCGAATTGGTAACTGGCGAATGACAAGCATGGTGTTTTGCTCCAAGGCGTGAATTGAAGCAGGATTATCCACATAGACTTTACATATCCCCACCAGAAGCAGTTCAACGTTCACACGAACTTCGTGGTCAATCGAACGGCCAAAAACGTAAAAATTATCTGCTCACCGAAATGCGCTCTCAAGTAAATCCGTTGACTGATTCGATGTATGGGAAATGTTGCCGTCTTGTTGAAGCCAAATGTCGCCGACATTAAGAGCTCTAATTTCAGGCATCAAATAGTCGGTTATCACGGCGGTATTACGTTTACCATTGTCGGCTACGTTCTTACCGGCATCATATTTGAAGAAATATCGACCGATGATTCCACCGGCCAACAATCACACCAAACGTTATTGTTTCTGGTTGAGGTAGCTGTTCTTTAATGTATTCAAGCTGCTCTTCGACCCAAATGCGATAATTTTGCTTTTTAATATTTCCATTGAGCTAGAAATGGGTCTCATAGCTGAACAATTTGACACGACTCTCGCGTGATATGTCAAAAAAGGCTACTGAAAAACAAGTGTTTTTGGGCATATTTAACCCAAATCATAGCATTTCCATTATACATACACTCATTATCAGTATAAAGTTATCCCACCAACCAGCAAACGAGTTTCCAAACCAACCTGGCTTGACTCATCCCACCTGCTTCATGTGGATTCACCTAAACGCTTATATCACGTCGCAGTTATTTATTTTACGAGAAAAAATAACGCTCAATACAAATGATATAAAAAGATACAGTAATAAATAAACATATTTCATTGCACAGCGGCAGCACTGAACCATAAGATGCAAATAACAGACGACAAAGTCAAGGCGCTGTAAATGTTTGCCACTAAAGGGTGGCCTACACAAAACGCGAAGCCAATTTTTATATTTACACATATTCAGACATTTGTGCACATGAGATTGTTTGTATGAGTGTGCGTATATACTCGAATGTGATAAAAAGCATCATTTTGCATTGAAAAAAGTTTGTCTGCAAGAGAGTGCTGGCATTAAGTGCTTCTTCAGTTGCCGGTATCAGCTGCAGTCGCTTTGAGTTTCACATTTCTATACTTTGTTTTAACTTAAAAACATAATTCTGCTTAGTAAGCACCTTGTGCTCTCATACTATAAGGCAACAATGGATGCGAATGGATGAATGACCAGCGACATTGAGGATGACGTTGTGAAGTTTGCCGTCTGTTGTTGACGGTAGCCGTGACCACGAACGCCGCTTAGTCACTGAGCGGATTATAAAACATTTGTATTGCTAGCCGCCTCTCATAATTTTTCAAACCATTATTCAAGTTCTTTTCTTTTTTTCCTGTTTCTTTTTTTGTGACTACAAGTAGGATTATTGTGGGTTCGGTGAGTATTAGTGTTCATTCCGGCTGCGCATGCTTTAAGTACGCGTTTATGTTGAATGAATTGTGAATGGTTAGGAGTATTTATTCTTTGCGTTCTGTTTTTACAAATGCTATTGTTCAAGAAGGAGCAGTCTTGGGTACGATTTTTTTTAAATGCTTAATCTGAAGAACTTATTAATTGCATTAAATCAATAATGCTTTTGCGTTAAGAGAAAAATTGTATATTTATGTATGTATATATGTAACATAGAAAACTTAATGCAAACATTTTGCTAGCGTTATTATAATCTTTAAATTTAAATTTTTTGAAAGCCTTTTGATTACTTTGGGTTCCAATAAACGAATATAAAAATTAATTAATGAAAATAAAATAAAAAAATAATAAAAAAGTTTAAATAAACATAATACATACACAATACATGTAGGATATTAAATCAGTGAATAAAGTAAAATTGGTCTGTACCTCCTTAAAACATCGACATCGTAGGATGAAGAGACCGTGTAAATTCTAAAAACTTTTCCAGTTGAGCAGGAAGGGTATATGCTAATATTTATATAAAATATGTGCTCGAGTACAGCATCTTTTTATACATACATTTATTTACCTACACATGTGCATTTAGTATTTATATGTGCAGAATTTTCCCTTCCACATTCAATATTCTTAATTGTAGCTTTTAGTTTTTATTATTTTAATTCTTACAGGTTCAATTGTATTTTATTACCGTTAAAGATTGTATTGAGTTTTTTCATTACTTGACATCCTCATGCCGCCTGGATTTACGGCCTCTCCAGCCTTACGTTGGAATCACATAAACAGCCAAGCAAATGTTGAGAAGACAATGCAATATTTAATTATTTGCAGTTAAAAAATGCCGTGGGAATGGCTAGGGAGTGTAAAGAATTATCGCCTGTAGCGCCATCAGCCACAATCAAGTCGACGACGAGCGGCTAAGAGAGTGTTATAGATAGTTATAGATAGTAGAAAGCAAACGTATCATAAAAATGTTTTGACGCTGACTTTCATCAGCTAGCAGACACATTGATTGTGGTCGATGATAATTGTGTATGTAATATAATTATTTTACTTTTCTCTTCCATTTCCTTGCTTTTATTGATTTCTGTTCATTAACAAAAGTTTTTAATGTGTTAAATAATTTTCTCACGCAATTAATTTTTTATGACTACCAGGATGAGTTAATCTTACAAGTTACAATATGTAGTTAGGACTATTTTTTGTATTTCCTGCACTTGACAACTCAAATCCGCATATTTACTACTATCTGCTTGCAAAGAAAGGCACATATTGATGCTCAAATAAAAAAAAAACATTTTTCAAATAACGGTTCATTTCAATTGCAGTAACAAATTCCTCACATCAAACTTTAATTGCTAAAT